TAAGCTAATGGCTCATGAGATACAGACAATATTTACAGGGCTCAGTTAAATATAGATAATGAGAATGAAAGTTGATGAAATGAAGGTAGAATTCAAAAGATAGGTTAAAAAGAAGTTAGTAACCTCCAAGACACAAAAGTAGAATGAACAGAAGACATCATGGAACAAATGATGTTTCCTTATAGACAAAAAGGGATGGAAAGACCAACCCATCATTATGCCATCAGAGCTGACAGCTATGTCATCTCCATTTTAGCCACCACTGTGGACACCCAGTATGGTCCTATTCTGGAAGCATGGTGTCCTATCCAAGATGTGCTTCCAAGAAAAGCTAATAAAATCCATGGCTCATCAGCAGGCAAACTGGCAAATGATTTAATAAATTGTATGATTTAGGCATTTTAATTTGGTTGCTGAGCCCTTCTATTCCATAACCTGAGATATCTTACCTTAGTAATGCACTTGGAGGCTAGCAATTTTGTCAAGGTAATTTCCTACAGAACACCTACTGAATCAGAATCTGCATTTTAACAAGTTCTCCAAGTGATTCATATGCATATTAAAGTTTAAGCACAGAGAAAACTGTTTTAGAAAAAAAAAAAAAAGAAAAGAAAAAAGAAAACTTTCCACAAAGACAAAAAGTTGGATCTCACAAGAACTATGTTCTGAACAAAGGGCTTCAATAACTCCTCAATGGTTCAGAGCCCAAAAGAGGAAGAAAAAACAGATTCATTTTCAATAACTATCTCCTAAGGCTTAAAAAAACATTGCCACCATTGAACTCTAGCTCTAGCAAACTCCACATAGTTTGAGAAAACACTCAAAAGTATAGCACAACACACTTCAAAATTAACTTTGCTCTCTCCTTGCTGGGAGTTAGGAAATCTACTTTTCCAGTTAAGGTACATTTTAAGAATACTGATCCTAAGGACAGACTACTAAAAACAGAGAAAAGGGTATGACTTCCTTAATGAAGTTGCAGTGATCTTAGAAATATCTTCAAAGAGTAGGGTTGAGCAGAACAGCCTAAGAAGTTCCCTTCATGGGTTTCCCACCTACCAACAGTTTCTGACTTGGTCAGCTCCAGTCATTTTATGTATTTATTATATTCACATTGTCTCTAAACACATTAAGGACACCATAAATGTTCAGAATTAATAGAAAAAATAATGACAAATGCCACTCTCTCTATCCTTGATTGACCGAAGACAAGTTTACTATAATTCAATCCTTTGAGTTTGAGAAACTAACTCCTGAGAGTAAATGCATAATTACATATCTCAAATTAGCACAGTTCAAACTATTCTCCCATTCCATAACTTGAACTTGGATTTCATATTTTGTCATTATTAATTCCATTCTAATATTCCATGACCCAATGAAACACATCAACCTATCCAAATAAAACTACTATGTCCATAAAAGATAAGGACTGCTAGCCAGCAATAAAACTGACCATTTCTAAAAGTTACCAAATACATGTTACACTGGAAAGATCAGCTACTATTTTTATGTATTTCTAGGTCCAGATTTAAGACATCTTAGAAAAATGTCTTTTTAAAACATCTACAGAATAACTGAACAAGACACTGGGGATAATATCACCACTCAAAGATCATTAAGAATATCTATAACAAAAGACTAAAGGTATTGAGTATATTTAACCTAGTCAAGAATAAAATAAGAAAGGAACAGCAGTTAGTGTAATGGCTATGTCGCTGGACTCCTATGTAGTCGACAGTGGTTCCTGTCCCGGACCCAGTAGCTTAAAACTCACGCAGGGCGAGTGTGCGTGTGTGCCCAAGATCCCAAGAGGAGAATGGAGGAGAAGGGATTGTGGTGTGGCCATTCCCTCTGGGGGGTGATTTCTCATTTTCTGTCTCTATGTTTCTGTCTGTCTGGCAAGCGCACACGCCCTATAGCAAACCCCCCCCCCAAAAAAAAGAATAAAATAAGAATACCAGGAAAAGAAAGTAAACTAAATGTCCTAAAAATAATGTCTTTAAGGAATAGGTTCCTTATTGCTTCTGAAAGAGTAAATATGTTTAAATTTCAAAGGAAAGGACTTAGAGTTGAATGTCATAACTTCATTCCATAAATAAAATTTAGTGAATAGAATAAGGAAACACACATAGGAAATGGCTATACTTATTTTTTTTCCCAAATAATTCATCAATTCCCTTTAACTCTATGCCTTTAGAATAGCCAACTACTGTTAAAGAACTAATAGAACATTAGAGTTTTTGGCACTATGTTTCTGTCTGTCTGGCAAGCGCACACGCCCTATAGCAAACCCCCCCCCAAAAAAAAAAGAATAAAATAAGAATACCAGGAAAAGAAAGTAAACTAAATGTCCTAAAAATAATGTCTTTAAGGAATAGGTTCCTTATTGCTTCTGAAAGAGTAAATATGTTTAAATTTCAAAGGAAAGGACTTAGAGTTGAATGTCATAACTTCATTCCATAAATAAAATTTAGTGAATAGAATAAGGAAACACACATAGGAAATGGCTATACTTATTTTTTTTCCCAAATAATTCATCAATTCCCTTTAACTCTATGCCTTTAGAATAGCCAACTACTGTTAAAGAACTAATAGAACATTAGAGTTTTTGGCACATGTTTTTACACTGTGTTAAATGGATTCTTAAATACAATGTGTTTAGGAATTGACTGTATAACCTCACAGAGGAAGAGGGTAAACTTACAGACTTTTGTGTCTTCTGCACTAACAGCATGAGAGAACATACATAAGCCTTCAATAAAAACTTAGTGAATTTAATTAGGCATAGCCACCCTCTGAGGCAAAAATCTTAATTGGAGAACAACCTAAACAATACCCCCACCACCACATTAAAAAGCAGCTCTGGAAATTTCCAAGTGAGTCCACTTCCATGTTAAACAATGAAGAAACAAGAAAGTAATTGTTTTAATCCTTAAGAAGAGCTAAGAATGAATCTTCTGTTCCTAAACTTAATCCACTCCAACTAGTCCTGTGAACTGCCCAATAATATGCAATGCAGTATCTTTGTTTCACAAATCTTATGCCTGATTTAAATTCTAGATGAAACATGTTTAATTTAAATGTACAGTCATTCTTTGCTATATGAAATTCAGTCTCTGTATTATATGAAAATAAAGAGGACAAATGCTTATTGTCATAAGCAATAGTAGCTTATTGTCATAAGTTACTGTAACACTTGAATTTTAAAATGTCATACACCGAAAGCCAGTTTGTTCACATAAAAACAGATTTCAATGATAAATCCCTCAGGTTCCATTCAATCTACTCTTGTACGATTACATTTGAAGCAGGACAGGACCCAAATACAAGGGTAGTGTCCCGCTTGGTTCAGTGGGTAGTGTTCAAATTGATAAGTTTTCATAAACTGCTATCCCCCTACTAAAAAGTTAGTAAATGGGCTTAACAACTCCTTGAAGAGTTCATTTCAGTTATTCCTGCCTTGCTCAATGTGAAACAATTTAATCTCATGGCTTTGTTCTTAAGGGGTAGAAAGATCATGTTCAAGCAGAACTTAATTGTGCAATTTAGACGTTTACTGGATAGGCTTGCAGGAAGGCACCTTTGAAGACAGTTCCTAAAGTTTAGGACGAGAGGCAAGAGAAGGAAGGCCGGGAAAGGAGAGAGAGGGGGTAGCAAAGGAAGGAAGCAAAGAATTGCAGAGAAACTTTGCTCACTTTCCAACTAGATTTACATCTCTAGTTTATTTTAAACAGTTTAACTTGACATGGCCCACTCTGATGCAGACCTTCTATCTTACTCTAATTCAATAGAAGTTGGGCTGCTAACACCTGTAAAAAAAATTTTAGATTTTTATTTAATTTTGAAATAATATTTCATAATTTAAGCAATGTCAAATCTCTCTTTGAGTACTCCTATGTAAATTATCTCTCTTACAGCCTTTATATGGTAGTTTATAAGATGAAAATTTCAGACAATGAGGAGACTTGGAGGAGAAAATTCACAACAATATGATATCAAATGCCTAATCTATCACATATACACACTGAAGAAGCTAGACGTTGTTTCAAATGATACATTCTGCCATTATTAACCCCCAGATTTCCCAAGAAGAGCACATAAACGTCTCAGGACGGCGCTGATGGGCAAGTGCACTTTCAAAACACATCCCAGGAGATGCTGACACTCAACAAACCAGATCTTGCCCCTGTCGCCACTGTCCCCTGGTAACATTCCACCACCCGCTGCTGATGTGCTTTGTGCTGCTCTCTATGTTGTTCTTCTATACCACATGTTAACTAAGTGAAGTCACTGGAATACAGCACATGGATTCAACTGGCATTTATCCAGCTTTTAAAAGTAAAAATAAATCCATGAATGGCAAATCAACTTTACTTCCTTTCACAAAATTTATTTTAAAGCTACATAACAAACTCAGAACTCAAGGCTGTTTACAGTCATAGCTTTTCAATTAAAGTACTGAAGTCAGCTAAATATATTTCCATAAATCAAATGTTCACTATCCAGTAGCAGTACCAAAAAAATAAATAAATAAATAAAAAGAGTTCCAACAACATTCCTCACAATCCACTTATACTTAAGTAAGAAATAACTGAGATTTTTTAAGAAAGTAAATACAAAGTATCATTATCAAGGTTACCATAACTCTTCCATTGTGCATTATACCCCATATCTCACAATGTGTAGACTCAAAATGTTAGTATATAAAGATAATATGGAGTTGTGTGTTCATATTATTCATACTCCAGCCCATGGGAATGTATTTCACAATTCCCAAACTTCTTCAATTTTAATATTACTCACTTCTGGTATCTGCCATTATAAAGCACACTGAGAAATGTGGTTGATCCCTCTCAAACTCCAAACTCTTCAAATCACCTGACAACAGGTGTCTATCAACAAGCTTGAATTCCTGACAAAAACTTCTACTAGCTGTCAAATCTACTTGCATACAGTTGGGCCCGGATACTAAAAACAAACTGAGAAAACATACTCACCTTAATTGGAGCACTACTAAACTTAATTTTACGATTTGCTGGGATTTCTTCTTCTTCTGGAAGTCCAACGATTTCCGAGTATTCCATATCGGGCTGATAGTAATTGCTCTCATCACTATCTTCCTCCTCATCCTGCTCAGTGCCTGTCTCTCCCCAGTCGGAATTATACCTGGATCTTACTCTATACACATTATAGTCACTGTGCATGTACACATGAGAACTCTCGAAATTATTTGAATCATCAGGTATTTCTTTTCCACAAATGGATGCCGAAGCATCAGGAGAGGTGAAATCACCTCCTCCAAGTTCTTTGCTCTGCTGCTTGGCTGCCTCATTCCCAAGCAAATTAGCTTCAGCATCTTCTAAAGGTTCCTTTTGTGGGGAAAGGATTTCAGACTTAGGCATTGCCTTATTTTCAGCACAAGGTTCTTCAGAAAGGTCTTTATCAGTTCTGTCCGGAGTCTCCTGGTTAGATGGAGAGTCCTCAGCTTCCTTGTTCTCCTGTGTCTCTTCACTGGGTATGGAGGCTAGAGAGGTACTTTGAGAAGCCACGTCTGGTACTGGAGTTGTATTACTCTTCTGAGCATCCTCCGTATCAATACTTGGTTTGTTTGAAGGAGCCCAAGAATTAGAATCCTTAAGGTGGCCAAAGGTGTCAAGATTCGTAACAGTAACAGATGGAATATTGAGGGGATAATGGCCAGTGACTGAGTATTCACTGTTTTCAGCCTTCTCGGAAATGGTGGCACCCAGGGAATCAGTATTCTCAAAGACTGCACTCAGTTGACTCACAGTTGGGGAGACAGCCTCAGTCCGGGAGCTAAGGCTGTCCAAGGAATCGGTACTGCCTCTGTTGGACTTGGAACCACCCCACTCATCCTGTGGTTCGCTCCCTCCAGCTTTCTCTTTCTTTGGCGAGTAGCGGTTGTTCTGTCCGGATTCATGCACACTTCTCTCAAACATCTTCCGAGTCTCTGTGAACTTGGAATAGGAAGGGCCATCGTACATTGTGTCAAATCTACTAATTCTTTCGGAAACAGAGGACTCCAATTTAACAACCGAGCCATCTGTTTTTTCCAGAAACTCTTTGGGCTTCATCCTTCTCTGAGGAGATGAAGGTCTACCTTTCCCCCTTGTTTTGGCAATGACTGCAGCATTCTCATTGGGCTCCATACCCATCTGCATGAATAGATTTTTAATTCTGTTGACATTAGAGCCATATTTCCTGCCCCTGCTCTGCTGGGAGCCCTCACCTTCTTTTGTTTTTTGTTCCCCATCTGACTTGGGTTTATCAAAGGTACTTTTCAGTGCCTGGAACTCAGTTCTATATGCATTCCTGTGAGGAGAGGCACTTCTGAGAGTGGTCCGTTCACCTGAAGACTCAGTTTTCAACATTTTTACTTCAGGAGTGAAAAGCCAATGTTCATAATGATCAGGAAAATAAAAAGCCTCTCTTCTGTAATCACTGGTATTTGGTCAGGAAAAGTACCTTTCAAATGGCATACTCTGTCAGCAATCGTCCCAACAGATGTATTAGGAAATTATTCTCCGTCAAGAGTGACACAAAATGGCTTTTTCAAAGCAAGACTAGAAGTTCATCTGTAATAGAAAAGAATGAATTTCTGAATTCATTTACTTATTTGAATTTATGTTCTGTCAACTAGAATACATTGTGTTTTCCACCTGTCTGAGCCACATGTCAAACAAAATAACTTACTTACTGAAAGGGGAAGTTAAAAATCAAGAAGTCCAAAGCTATCATTCAAATTGGTCTTTGGTAACAAAAATTTTTCAAATACAGTTTGGAGATACCTACCAAAATATTCCTCTCTTGCATACCCACACTGCACATAAATATATCTGAAAGTAATAATTTAGACTAAGTTTTGGTTGATTTTGTGAATAACCTTAAAAGAAATCCACCGTTTACAGATCTCTAAGAAATCATCAAACTGTCCAGAAAATCAACTTCACTTGGGTTTCTCCACAATCAGGCAGAACTTACTGAAGTACAATTAAAAGTTTGTTTACAAACTCCAATACATGACTATAAAATCTTATTTTACTGTTTTTGGTCCAATACTTCCATTGACAGCAAACCCAAAGCAACTAGCATAATTTCAGAAAAAGAGAAAAAGCAGAAAAAGAGTTCTTGAGTGGCAGGCAGTAAGTTCCACACTAAGTTCAGCCATATCAAGTATCTGTAAGTTTCCTAACAGTGGATATGATTATGAAGTGGAATGCAGACTGGCATGGGAATAAACACATGAGAATGTGACAATCAGAAAGCAAATATATACTGTAACATCTCCTTTGATAGCCCTCATTTATTTCTCCTTGCCTCTAACTTACTAGATGCTCAAAACCCAACGCAATGCATGCTGGCTGGCCTTCTCCAGTCCTCTGCTGGATTTTATATCAACATGCCAGCGATCAAATACTTCAAGATCTGCTGAGGGGCAGACACTACAGTTTTAAAGGTTTTTCATTTTGTTTTTGTTTTGCTTTTTTATATTAGACCGAGTCACATCACCCTCATGCACAAGCAGCTGAGGAAGCACACACTTTCACTGAAATCGGCTCCAAACTCGGCTCCTGGCCCAGCACGCATGCATGGCCCATGCAGACAAACAAGAAAGGCTTTAGAGTGTGGTGCCTCTTTTTTTTTTTTTTTTTTCTTTTTTGGTAAAGCAACGACAATCCTCTCTCACCCTGGCATTTCTTTTAAAGCCATAAACACCCTCCCCTCTCCCCTACACACACACCCTCCATTCCCTCCCCCGCCAAGTCAAATCCGAGGGGGCGGAGGCGGGGGCGATGAGGCCGCCAGGGGATTCAAAACCTGCCCTCACAAAAGACAAACATAAATAACACCAACTTGAGAGGCAGCGGATTCCCAAGCCTGGTTCGGGACGCAATCCCTCGGCCCCCGGGGCAGGGCCCGGAGAGCAGGTGACGCCGAGCGCTATGGTAGGAGGTCGCAGTCTAGCTTTGTGCCAAGAAGCACCTGAAGTCCTAACATTGGCTGCGGCTCCCGGCGGCTGCCAGGCGGATCCCAGTGTGGCACCGGGAGAGACGAGCTCCCAGGCCACATTTAAAAAAGGGGGGGGGGGCAATTTCATGGTGATGATAATAAATCCCTTTGTTTTTCCTCCCAATGTGCCAGGAAACAATAGATCCCACTGATAATGCCTCCGATCCTCAACCTATCGCTCCCCAACCACGGCCCGCCCCCACCCCGGCCAGCAACTCAGCCTTTGTACATGCGATCTTCCCCTCTGCATCTCCACCCTCCTCTCCTCGCCCCGCGCGCTGCCTCCCCCTTACC